GCTGTAGGGGGAGGGTCGGAAATTGTATTACTGGGGGGCGGGGGGTCATCGATGCAACCGAAGCCTCTGTGGGGATGACTTATAGTTGACCTCAAACAAATGTTAACAATCGGATATGAGTGAATATAAGTCGTGTTGATTAAATCTCAAATTTTATGATCTATCCTTTCGATGCAAGTTCGTTCTTCAAATTAGATGTTCATTGTTCATTACTGTTTCAATATTTCATGGTGACTTTCCTAAAGATACTGACCCCATTCCCTGCTGGGAATGTATTCTATGCTCATCCCTTTAACTGGCTGTCATTATTCCTCGCTGCCGCTAGTATCTTTTTTCAGCGTCCGTGTCCTTTTGTTCCCAATCAGTTTTCAGAGAGCTGTCCGAAACTGAAGTGTCATGTTTCAACGGCGACGGTGGTCACCGAAAATAGTCCATCGGAGCGGGACTGCTGCGGTGAGCATGGAGAGTGCACCACTTTGTCGTTTCCGTGTGCTTAAGTTACTGTTTTGTCCAAAGACATAAAGACGGAGCGCTAAAAGCAAAAAATGAAGCCTTCTTTTCAATCACCTCTACTATTGGCTAGAGGATTGGCGGCGAAATCGGGACAAGTTTGAAATTCAAATGTAGGGCGGGAACTAAATAAAATTGCGGAAATAAAGTATTTTAGGTTGATTTTTGCCCAAATTCACTTACACACTCATATTTTTTTTTAACTCTAGGTTAGTTTTGGTCCGTCGTCGACCAATTAATTTCATCTGGGAGTAACGGTCATCTAGGACTGTAACAGCCCGTTTGAATCGGCAGAACCACCATGAGCAACAGAAAAATGAACTTTACCTGAGATTACTACCTGTTACCGAGCAAAAGTAGGTGTATTACAATAGGACGCAGTCCCAACTTCCTTAATATAATCGTTTTAGGCATTTAAAACACGTTTAGAAGAAAAAATCTGGAAAAATCACGAGGACAAGTTCAAATCAAATTTCCGTTTGCCGCCATGGATTCCCGCGCTCATTTACACACTCACACAAGCACCCAGCGCCAAAGCAGGCTTCACTTGTTCCCCGTGCTTTTAGATACGAGCACTCCATCTTTATGTCTTTGGTTTTGTCTCATTATGAACAAAGAATTGAGTTTTCACTCAGTAGTTTGCCTTTACTGTGTCAAGATAAAATATGAATATGTTTAATAAGCAAGGCCTTGTTCGGCTTTCTTCGGCCGCTATCACATTAGAACTAGGAAAGAAGAGAAGAGACAGAAGTCACATCCTAAAATTGCACCATTCAACGGATATTTACATGCTAACCAATGGGCCAACTGATGATTTAAGCACTTAGACTGATGTGACTTTTGTCTCTTCTCTTCTTTCCCCATCATATATATAAGCTCCGAGACATGGAGTACAATAGAGTCGCAATCTACGGGAGCGCCAATGAAGTCAATCCATGAACGGGCCATTTCGAGCCCCTTGTTCGCCGGAAAGTGTGAACCAAGTGTGAACTCGACGGCATTTTGTAACACGGCGGCTTATGAGAGAATGGCGGACTATGAGTGGTTTTTGGGATTTACGAGGGCTGTCCCAAAAGAAACCGGACTCTTGTCATAGAAGGCGAACCGAGCGTCGTAATGAAGTTTTCTTGGGCTTGTTTGAAAGCTGATAAGCTATTGGAGATGCTTGTTTTTACAGAATGCAAAAATTCGTCTTGGTAAGGAAACTACACGCTTTGGAATAAAGGAAAGTCAAACTCGAGTTGCGATTTTTGTCTTTATTTCAAGAAAAATTTGGATACAACTTAAAAATAAACCCACGTTTTAAGTTAAAAACTTCGTTGCTCTCTTATTCAAATGCTTAAAAATAAGGAAATTCACATTTTAAGCAGCTTACCAAGTCATCACCTATCCCCTTCAAAAAATACTCGCCAGCTTTGTCGATGCATTTTTGCCACCGTTTCTTCAATTGGAAGAAAAACTGTTGGAAATCCTCAGGTTTGAATGATCGCAATTCCTTCAAGGTGTTCTCTTGAATTTCCGGGATGGTTTGGAAACGTCGACCTTTCAAGGTAGATTTAATTCGTGGAAATAAAAAAAAATCACACGGAGCCAATTCCTGGTTTCTGCATCACGATAATGCACCTGCCCATGCATCCCTCCGAATTCGCGAATTTTGTGCAAAGAATGCCGTGAGTGTCCTCCCTCATCCCCCTTATTCACCTGACCTGACTCCGTGTGATTTTTTTTTATTTCCACGACTTAAATCTACCTTGAAAGGTCGACGTTTCCAAACCATTCCGGAAATTCAAGAGAACACCTTGAAGGAATTGCGATCATTCAAACCTGAGGATTTCCAACAGTTTTTCTTCCAATTGAAGAAACGGTGGCAAAAATGCATCGACAAAGCTGGCGAGTATTTTGAAGGGGATAGGTGATGACTTGGTAAGCTGCTTAAAATGTTAATTTCCTTATTTTTAAGCATTTGAATAAGAGAGCAACGAAGTTTTTAACTTAAAACGTGGGTTTATTTTTAAGTTGTATCCAAATTTTTCTTGAAATAAAGACAAAAATCGCAACTCGAGTTTGACTTTCCTTTATTCCAAAGCGTGTAGTTTCCTTACCAAGACGAATTTTTGCATTCTGTAAAAACAAGCATCTCCAATAGCTTATCAGCTTTCAAACAAGCCCAAGAAAACTTCATTACGACGCTCGGTTCGCCTTCTATGACAAGAGTCCGGTTTCTTTTGGGACAGCCCTCGTATTATTTTAAATCAATAGGTAACTATTTTTGCGAATTTTGGCAAATTATGTTTACCAATGTCATAACAAATTAAAAAACGTACGGAACTCCCGGTTTTAATGAGATAAATTTTATACCAGTATTTTCTGAGCGGACCCCGGAGCCCAGACCCCGCGGATACAGTACCGCTAATCGCCGCACACTAGTCTCAGAAGTCCTGGACAAAACAGTCTCAAAAAGTGACTTCATCTGCGCTCCAGAACATCGCGACTTGATCTGTACTATAAGCTCCAACACCTCCTAATTTTGCGAAACTGGTAACGCTTAGTTCCAGCGTTCTACCGGGCCGATTTTCATGATTTTGCGGCTATTGACGGGCAATTGTCTCTAAATAAGCCAACTCTTTTCAGATTTTCAAAATATGGCCCAGGTTTTTTTATATTACGTGGAAAAGTTGCGAATTCTCCCATTTAAACAATGTAAATTTATACTTTTTGTCATAGTTCGTTTGAGCGTTCTACCGGGCCGATTTCCATGATTTTTGCGTAAATCGACAGGTAATAGGCCTTAGATGAGCCCGCTGTAATCAGATTTTGGAAAAAGGGCCCAGGTTTTTTTTAAAATCACGTTATAAAAGTGAGTGAGTTTACAGAATGCTCCGGTACTGCTACCGAGGAGGTTGCGCAGTAGCTGTGTAGCCTGCGTATCAGCTGTACACTTATCTACACAAGATTCGCGCCAGCGACCTAACGTCGAGCGGTGGCCGAGTCGTCTAAGACGTCGAAGGCGTCCACTTTTAACTCTGTGTGGGTTCGATCCCCGACTCAAGCATTCTTAATTATTACCTGACCATCATTGTTCATTGTTTTACTGCAATATTTCATCAAGCAGTCATTCCGAAACGCGTCCTTTTAATTTTAAAGTAATTTTAAGTGAAGTTTAAAATTAAAGTATATCTCATATCGTAAATTTTTAGGGGGAAAATAAAACTAAAACTGATAGGAGGGTAAAAATAGGGCCGCGAAGCGGCCCATTGATGGCGCGGAGCGCCTTCGGGGGGTTGGGGCCGCGTAG